GGGGGGGGGGGGGGGGGTCATTGGACAACTCTCGCAGAAGCTACTGGCTGTTAGCAAAGAAGCAAGCTGTTAGGACTCACCATGCTCCAACAAGATGAATGTGCTCACCTTTCGAGTCTGTTGTGGAAACAGTGGAGCTCTCCTTCACGCCCCCATTCTGCCCGTCCTTGAGGTCTCCTGTAAACAGAAACGTGACCACGTTACATCACGTCTGCTGGCTGCTAACACCTGCTCCACTACGTAATGCGTCATCGGAGGGAAGGAATGTTTACAACAGCACTGTAGAATCAAGGAATACGAAACAGATCGAGTTGTTTTGAAAAACAGGCCTGACATGGTAATTACGAATAAAAAAATATATAAAATTTCGGTACTTGTTGGTTATCGGGTCACATCGCTTTAAAAATAAGTTAGGTTAGGTTAATGTATGTGGATAAATGACATATACTTGAAAGTTATCACTGAAATATAGTTTCATAACGTGATTATTCGCACAGTACCTCGCTTTCGGTAGTATTCCTTCATCCTGCATAAAAGAGACAGAATCTTCCTCACCGTTAGGTAGATCCCAAATTTTTAACATGGTACCGAACAGCAATAAGTAACTGAACGAACTAGCCGATAACAACAACCGAGTATACGGGTATTCTGATACGCATGCGCAATTTTCCGTCCAATCCAAGTCCAGATATTCGACTCTCCCGTTTTGTGTCCCGATAACCCACACGTACCAAAATTTGCTTACTGATGTAGCAATTCCATCAGACAAGAATTTAATACAGAAGGAGTACGAAAATAAATTAAAATACAAAAACTTAAGCACCGAAATTCAACAAATGTGGAACATAATATTTTGTCATATCGGTAATCACTGGAGCCACATTGAGTCGTAACTAAAGAACTAATAAAAATCTAGAAACAACTCCAGAAAATAACTAAGTAGATGTACGATTTGAGGTTTTCACAGCGGCGAGTATGAAGATTTCTGTCTTCTGGGTTGTTGCGCTGTGTAGTCTGGTCGATGTTAACCGCCGTTTCAGAGGTCATACTGCCTCCATCATCAGAGTATGAAGATTTCTGTCTTCTGGGTTGTTGCGCTGTGTAGTCTGGTCGATGTTAACCGCCGTTTCAGAGGTCATACTGCCTCCATCATCAGAGTATGAAGATTTCTGTCTTCTGGGTTGTTGCGCTGTGTAGTCTGGTCGATGTTAACCGCCGTTTCAGAGGTCATACTGCCTCCATCATCAGAGTATGAAGATTTCTGTCTTCTGGGTTGTTGCGCTGTGTAGTCTGGTCGATGTAACCAATGTTTCAGAGGTCATGCTGCCTCCGTCATCAGGGCGATTCATCTCCCTGAAGACGGAGGCAGTATTTGCTCAACTGATCAAAAATTCCCCTGCTTTCATGGAACCCAGACATTGATTACAGTGTTCAGAACAGCCCGCCATTCGATTATCATCATCATCATCAATCCCTTAGAATGGGATTTACTGATACTGGATGTACGAAGTTATTAATTATTATTATTGAAATTCTATCATCACATTTTTGTAATCCGCGAATGTTCTTACATTGCTGTTGGCTCCAACTAATGCACTTTATAACCACCAGCCTGTTGAGTGTCAGCACTAGTCCTGTAGTGACTAAGCAGCTTGGATACTTTCACTGTTCTTTATTTACGTTTTATTTTGGTTTCAATACAGATTTCAACTGCTGACAAAAAGAGAGATCAGTTGATAATGAATCGGAAACCATGTACAGTATATCCTGTTCATTACGATGCTAAATCAAGAGTTTTTACTCATTTTGTCACAATTACATTACTGTTGTTATTATTAACGTCTTAATATAGGTCAATGTCACCAAAAGATCGTCTCATAACAGAAAGAGCGATCGAAGTTACGTGACAAACGGACATCATTTACAGTACACACACAAAGCAAGGTAAGTAGCAGGTATTAACTGTTAGTTAACAAACGAGTCAGGAGTTCAACTGTTAATACATTTTTGGACAAAATATTTATGTAATAAAATTATTTTAACGAAATCGTATTACAGAATTTTGAATCATGTCTGCTGTCTTCGATTTCATAAACACGAATGTGAAAGGTTCAATTTGTGAATCTGTTGGTCACTAATTTATGAACCATTCAGAACAGCGAACCGTCAATAACGATCGAAGGTAAACCAATCACATGTACAGATTAAATTATAGAATTTATCAGTCGATATAAACTTTTCAGTATGAATAAGATTCAAATGAAACAAACTGCATAGAGGAGAGTGCTTGAGAAGGTGACAGTCGCTCAGCTGGTCAACAAATTTCTTGTTTTACATGGAACCAGAATGTTCATTATCGTATTCACAAGATTTCGACAATGGCGACAAGATGAATTTAATTCATATCCTCACGCAATAAAAAAGAATATTAATATTTACACACATCCATCACCAACTTCTCCCCCAACCCCCGAAAAATTTTTACAACTTAGTAATGCGGTAATATACTCGGGATGTAGCGTGTTCAAATTCCATCTCGATCGACGGCTATTCATTACTGAGGTTCCCGCTCGTTTCCTCTGCATCTCCAAGCAAATGCAGTGGTAGTTATACTGTGCTAACATAACCACCTCCTTCCAAATTCCTTTGGTTCGCTTATACATGAACTACAATGTGATACTTCAGGTTCTGACGGCAACAAATATGACGATCACTATGTAAGACTAGACGTTCTCACAGCGGTGAGTATGAAGATATCCGTCTTCTGGGTTGTTGCGCTGTATAGTCTGGTCGATGTTAACCAACGTTTCAGAGGTCATACTGCCTCCGTCATCAGGGCAATTCATCGCCCTGATGACGGAGTCAGTATCGACCAGACTACACAGCGCAACAACCCAGAAGACGGATATCTTCATGACGATCACAGTCTTCTGGTATGTGGCGTCATGTAGTACAGTGAAATTTCGATAATCGTCCTGATAATGGAGGCAGTAAATATCTCTGAAACGTCAGTAATATTGTACAGAAATACACAGGAAAATATCTTAGAAGACAGTCACGATACTTAACCACTGTAGATGATACGTCGTCGATGAAAACCCTCGAGTCACTGTCCAATATAAACCCAAACAGCTGATGATATTCAGTTAGCGTCACTTCAATGGAACAGCGAGTTTTGAAGCAAGGACCCCTATTCGGCACACGAAGTACGTATTCTTCCCTAGATACATGAACTTTCTGAGGAAGGTCGAGGGTTCGATTCCACTTACTTCGCAGTCACGAACCCAGACGGACCCTCACTGGCAGCAACAGCTTGTTACTGATGTCATCACCGTTCCTGCATTACGTCCAGCACCAGAGGGCGTAGTCATTCGGAAGGGCACAGGAAGGAAGTCAACCGGCAGAAAGGTAGGGGGTGGGGGGGGGGGGGGGGAGCTAGAAGGGCGTAACTAAAATGAATGAGCTCTGTGATCCATAGCGGGAAACTGGCGTTCACCTCCGTGCAGTGTTGACGGAAGTCTCACGAAGCTATGCAGTCCGCCCAGAATGATTCGTCTTGCTGGTTGCTGCCCTTAAGGAGACAAATTCGTCCTCTTCTGTTCTCCGTTATGGGTTGTGATGTAATTACGTTTCTTTGATAAATCAGCGAACAATCAATACTTTACTAGTTTTGTGTGACAGCTTTACATTCCCTTCGGCGATATGGTATACTATATTTATTTACTTCAATAAGGGTCTATTTTTATAGGAACGTAAAGATAACGACACGAGCCCTTACCGACTTTTCAGAAAATATTATTCAACGTTTTTCAATATTGACTCCGAGCTCGTCCGTTCCACGAACGAGTCTCGCCCAACTTACGTCTCCAACGATATTTTTCCTAAACTGTTCCATTGAAATACATTGAATAATATTTTATGAAAAATCGGCAAGGGCTCGTGTCGTTATCTTTACGTTCCTATATAAATATACCTTAATACGGTCTAATACAGCGTGGTAGAACTGGCGGCCTACGAAAGTATATGTTATTTTTTACTAGTTAGTACAACCAGTTTATTAAAAATAATTGTTGCAGGGGCAAATTTAAAATAATATACAACTCTATAGTAGTTTGTGAACATTTAAATAAAATTTATATTTCAGCATAAGCAATTGTAATTTGTCATTTCTGAATAAGTATTTAACGACAATGCGAAAATAGTGACAGTAGGGTTTTTTTGGCCCTTGGGCCCAACAGGAAAACTGTTCTGGCCCGAGCAAGGAAAAAAGTTGGACCACCCTGGTCTAATATATCTCTTTCCTAGATTATGAGACCTCTGCTCGCTGTACTTAACACTCCAAGACTAAAATGTGAAATCCCACGATGCAAATGGGTCAGTCTGACGCGCTCTAAAATGCTACAAAACAAAAGCCTGCTCCAAATGTGGATGTACAAAGTAGTGCAGGCGTATTGGAGTCGAGGAGGTACAAAATCGAAACTTTTTAACTTTACATTAGACCACAGATTAATACAAAAACCAATTATACTCGAGTGACAATACTGTAAGCATACAAATCCAGTGGATTCCACAGGTACATGATTTTATATCAACTTAAATCGATATGTCAGTCGATGTGTCAGTCGATATGTCAGTCGAATGTCAGCCGATGTCAGTCGATATGTCAGCCGATATGTCAGTCGATATGTCAGCCGATATGTCAGTCGATATGTATTGCCCCTGGGGAGTAACTCAGACTGAGGGGGATATGAGAAGAATGTTCTGTGGAGGGTGTCTGCAGTAGAAGGTCAAAGAACACGGACAACATTCACAATGAGAAGTTTCGTACACTCTGCCTATTACTTTTCGGTAATTCAGAACAGTGACATAGACAGTTCATGTGCAACAGACGAAAGCAGGAAACAGACACAAAATTTGGTTTAAAAACTTCAAGAGGGAACTTGACTTTGAGGAAGGTATACTTAGATATGGGCTCATACCAGGTGATTCAAAAAGGACTTTACAACTTTGAAAGTGTATAGAAATTTATTCAGAAGGCTTACAGAATCGGTTGAGGTGTCATTTTGTAGCAAACCAAATCAAGTTTGACTCACGTTGTGCTGTAGTACCGAATTCCGTCACCGCGAGCGCAAGCAGCAGTGTATTTGAAAACGGCTCGAAAATTTTCTCATACCACA